TGGTAAACACACTCTACTTCAAAGGAAATTGGGCAACGAAGTTTCAGGCTGAAGCTACCAGGCAAAGGCCTTTCAGAGTAAATACGGTATGGGAATGTACCGCCATATATCCTACACTGGAGATGGCAAAAATAGAATAAAATGAGGGAGAGAAAGTCCTGTCAGTCTTTATATCCACACAGCATGAAAGTTATTTCCTTTAAAGCACAGGGTACATTTTCCTCACTATCTTCAGTAAAAAGACTGCACACACATACTAGCATGGGAGCCACAAGTAAAATTGTGAGCAACTGTCTCAAACAAACTTCCAGTCTCCTCTCAAGGTGAGGAAAACACAGATAGGAATGCAACTGTATGAAGTAGTTCTGTATATTTTCGTTTTTAACCATAAAACAAATCAGAGTAGAATACAGCTTCCTATAAATAGGTGTCAATTTAGACAGCACAGACATCCTAGCCTCCAACTGCCCTTCCAGAAAACCAACGGTCGTCTGTAGATCCTGTGTCCCATCTCTTGGAGCCATGAGGCTGCCTTGGACACACTGGACAATTTGTATAGTAAATAGAGTAAAGCTCCACTGTGCTATTTTAACTCAGTCCTTTACTGTTCAGTAAGAGTACAAATGGCAAACATTTCATTTTATTTTTTGCAGAGTACAACTAAATCAGTGCCAATGATGTTCCTAAGTGATAAATTTAATTGGTGCTACATTGAATCAGTCCAGGCCAACATTCTCGAACTCCCATATGTCCATAATGATTTCAGCATGTTTATTCTGCTACCAAGTGACATCACTGGCCTACAAAAGGTAAAGCAACTGAAAACTAAGTTCATGTGAAAAACAAGAATGTCATTTTTACTTATTTTTTGCACATCTGAGGTAAAAGAGCAGGCTGCAGCCTTGTTTTTAGGAAGGAGGGTACTGATCAGGCTCAAGGAAAAGGAAATCCCAAACCCAGTCTAACATTTTGTGAACTTGAACCTCTTGAAACCTGGACTAGACTTTTAGCTCTAGCAGCTGGCACTTTTACATTTCCTAACGTTGATCACTCCTGGAAACACGTATCCCAGACCCCACAAAGGCAGGTCTGCCTGGTGGGGATTGTGCGGCAAATGTGAAAGAAAGCTAGCCCTGGTGAGATTCACTGTGTCTACCCAGATATGATTTTATTCTAAAAGAAAAGTGCAAACTGGACAGCCTCCATTACTTTCCAGAGTGCCCAAAGCTAATGTATATGGATTCCGCCATCTTCTGTATGAAGGGACTGATCCTGCAAACTTTAATAAATCATGTATCTCATGTACATTAATAAGTGTTCTGCAGAAAAAAGCTCTGTTCAGTCAACTCTAAGATGTAGGGAGGACAGAAGTGTCAACAGCAAAATCAGCCATAGTGTTGCTATATGCCACTGCTGTTACTGTACTGCAAATACTTAGCCCTGAAAGTACAGCTGTATTCTCTGAAAATTATTGAGAAGAGTTCAAACACTGCATTTACCTATCATAGAGCAATATACTCCTTTCTGGTAAAAATGATCTCCAAAGTTGTCTTTCACTGCTGTTTTTTGTATTTTTAGAGCAGCTTGAAAAGTTCTCTGTTTAAGAGAAGAGAAGAAATAGACCCTAGGGCTCGGGTTTTTGTATACTCTGTAATTTTCTGATTCTGTTTTTAACTAACTGCAGCTGGAAGGAGAATTGACTCTTGAAAATTTGTCTCGATGGACCAGCCCAGAATTAATGGAGAAAACGAAAATGGAGGTTTATCTGCCCAGGTTCACGTTGGAAGAGAAATACGACCTCAAATCTACTTTGAGCAGGATGGGGATAGAAGATGCCTTCATTGAAGGACGAGCTGATTTCACAGGGATGTCAGAGAACGAGGGTCTAGTTTTGTCACAAGTTTTTCACAAGTGTTATGTGGAGGTCAATGAAGAAGGCACAGAAGCGGCAGCTGCCAGTTCAGGAGTTTTGGCATCACGAAGTCTTGGTGCTACTGTTATTTTTGCAGCAGATCGCCCTTTCCTTTTCTTTATCAGGCACAACAAGACCAAGTGTATCCTCTTCTTGGGAAGGTTCTGCTCCCCCTAGCAACTCAACTATTATCAGACAGGCCCTTGCAACAGCAGCAATACACAAAATACACACCACAAAGAGTATCTAAATAGTTTGGACTCTTTTTCTGTACCTTTGATACATTTTTGTATGTTAGAAGAGAGCATGTATTAAAAATAACCTGGAATTCAAGTCTTCAGCTCCTTTTCCTGGTCAAAGAACCTGAAAATTGTAATAATAAACTGTACACACCAAACTATGCACTGAAGGACGCTGATGCCTCTTTGTAGAGCTTTCAGAATCAGAACTGCCACAATGCAGAAAGACTAGGCTTAGTTCCCAACTAAGCCTAGGAAATAGGAATAATTCCTTCCTACAGAACACTGCTATGTCTCCATTGGTTTCAACCCAGCAAACTTGTCATCTGGCCACCTCACCCACACTCTTGTTAGATTTATACCAACTTCACAGACAGACACAGCTAGTAACAACATAACCTGCAATTTCCTCATGTTCCTGATTCTGATGTTTCTTTCTCACATACAACGGGCTAATACATGTACTCTCTAATCTCTCCATCCCACAGCAACTGGTAAACACTGAACAATAGATTAGAATTGGAGAGGGAATAAAAAAACACACGTGCATTGAAACTCCCTCCTTTGTATAATAACCTTTCATTCATTCAGTGCAGTTGCCAGCCTAGCATTGTGTTGCTTTACTTTCATTTTGCTTCCCCCCTTATTTCACTGCTTTGAAGAAAGATCAAACTGGAGAATCAGGGCTATAACACTAATTGCCCAAGTGCCTTCTAGAAGATGTCATACCAATCATCTCCTATGCATTCACCCTTGCCACAGCTCTGCCTCCAAAGGAGGAGAGCTTTTTAGTCCTGCATTTTTGTAGGGGATGCTCCTAGCTTTCTGATTTCAGAAAAAAGGCCAAAGGATTAGGTCTGCTATAGGAGTTGCATGCATCTCACTAGAAACATTCCTTCTTGGAAAGGCAGGACTCCCTTTCCCTGTCAGAGAGGAGACTGCTGACTGTCAATAAGTCCTTTCTGTTTTCTTCCATGTGACCAACTGTGTTCACAGTCCCTTCTGGCTCTCTTCCCAAATGACAAGGAGCATAGGAGAAGCGCAGTGAAGCTCTTGCTTTATTATATCCTCAGACAACCTCATCAGTACCTCCTCCCTTCTGTCTCAGCTGTGAAACAGGACACGGGATCCTTGTATACTCAGGTGTAATCCTGACATGTCCTGCTTCACCTAATGCAATGGCCTCATGTCCTTCCATGCCTCTCAAGCATTTTCTGATGTTCCTCAGAAATAAAGACACAAAAACCATGGCTGGGGGGCCAAGGAGGAAAAAAATCTTGATTACATACATCCAAACTCATTCACAGGCCTTTAAAGTCAATAGAAACGTCTGCCACCTTTCCTCTTTCCTTAAACTCTTTTAAGAGTGGTTGCAAACATGACAGAGTTAACCTCCTCTTGGTGGTGTCAGATCAGTAATGAGGAGCAATGGCCACAAAGCTTGGGGGTCAGCTGGACATTAAGGAACAATGTTCCCCCAGGGTGGGTAGCACAACACTGGAGCAGGTTGTCCAGAAAGACTGTGGAATCTCCACCCTTGGAATTTTTCAAGACTCAGCTAAACAAAGCTGTGGCTGACCTTATCTACTGAATTCAAGCAGGAGGTTGGCCCCTGGAGGTCCCTTTTAACCAACAAGTCTATGATTCTTTCTCTTGTTCCTCTGTTGTCAAATACTACACCCATTCTGCCTTTCCACCTCACCTTTTCATCCTCTCTAGCATCCTTGCATCTCAGCTAGCAAATGGAGTTAGCTTGCTTGCTCTCAACATACTTTTTTGGGACTTGGAGTCTTTTTGGCTTGTGTTTTACCACTGCTTAACTATTCAGCAGACCTTTCTCCTATCCCACTTTCTTGATGACTTCACTCATCTTACTAAAACCACTGCTTGTTCAATTTCTGCCATTTCTTCATTGCCTTACACAACACTGATTTCTGCCACTTTTCAGAAGACTTGGCCCACTCTTTTCCTGTAATCAGGTTCGCAGCAAGGTCCTTAGCACACAGCACAGCATTTACTTCCCTTCTTCCACTTCCCCTCCTCTGTCCCCAGGTTCTTACAACTTTTGCCCCTGCCTTCTTCTTCTCCTGTCACCCAACTGCAGCCCCCGTCTCTTCTGAGATAGTAGCAAGGACAAGCACTGGGCCATGCTGGAACCCTCCCAGTGAGGCTGTTTTAGTCCTTGCCCTTCCTCATTGCATGCAAGTACAGTGCAGCAGCTCAGTGTTTCGCGTTGTTTCTCTGAGTATTTCCCATCATGGCTGCAATGAGATTTCTTTACCAGCAGATTGGCTGTGCAAGCATTACCCTGAATGCTCCCTCCTGTCCCTGCTTCTGCTTCTAACAGTCTTCAATTTTAAGCTGGACTCTTAGACTCTAATTCAACCACTGGGCTCTTCCTGTTTCACACTTGTGCCTCATGTAGAACTAAGGAGTCACAGCCATGCAAAGCTGGAGAATCAATCAGGCCTACATTATTCGCTTATGTCTATAAACCAAAATCATGTGTTCTAATTCTGTGACTTTTTCATTGGATTCATTTATTTTAAACAACAAACTAGCTGTCTCCACAATACCATAAGACCTTCAGGATGGATGAACCATTTTACTATCCTAGAAGTGGACTACTGTGGTGTTACAATAAAGATGAGGTTATAATTCAAATTGTCCTTTTGAAATGTCTAAGACTAAAAAGTGACCAGCAGGTCACCAGAGAGGGTAAGCTTGCATAAGATCTTTTCAGAATTTGCTAAAGATGAGCTTTGGGTAGGCGGGAACAGCCTGGATGTAGGGGAAAAGAAAAGGGAGGTGCAAGCTGTACCATATTTCTAAATGTATTCATTGCTTAACACAGACACAGGACCTGACTAAGGACAAGTCTTCTGTCTCGTTGGATCAGAGGTAAATATTTAAATCAATTTAAGTAACTTTCCTGATGCTTGTATAAAGTGATCTGTGACTTACATGGCTGCATAGGTAAATTATAATATATCAGTGTTGTTACAGTGAAATTGCTGTTCTTGCCTCACATTTTTCTGATGTCAGCCCTTAGGGAAAATGAACCTGTGAGACTAAGTAAAACTGCTAGTTCAGGGCAGAATTATCAGAGGAAGAAACATTTTTTTGGGGTAGTAACTGCTGTACTAATTAAAATCTTAATTTGATAAAGGAGTCATACACTCCAGGTGAAGCAAGGCCCTTTTCATTCTGCAAAGGCACAGCACTGCCAATTATCAAGTCAGGGACTCAGAGGGGTATTCATTGAAGGGAATTTCCATCCTGAGGCCCTTTTGGTCATATTCTCCATGGAAAGGAATCAATGATGTGGTACAGATTTGGGTACCCATTGACAGCACACTGCCAGAAAAATTGTAATGATTTTGGCAACCAAACGTGACAAATACACACAGACTTTCAGAGATCTCCTAGCAATTTCTGCAGCTCCATTCCATGGATATCAATCTTTGTGTACCAAAGAATAACAATAACAACAACAACAATAACAATAATAATAATAATAATAAACATTTTCTGGTCTCCGTAGCAAACAGCAGAATCATGACATGAGGCAGATCCTACTGAGCAGATATCTTAAAGAAATTCAGAATACTCACAACCTCAAGGAATCTGCCTATTTCTGAAAAAAATAAAATTGCCAGAACATAAAGAAGAGGTTGTAGTTAAATACCACTAATAAAACTCTAGCTCTCTAAAAGCAAACAGTATCTTTGCCATACACAGTACTAGATGGAACGGCCAAGGAAAACACAAGAGCCTAAGAATTATGCCTAATTACGTTTTTAGAATCAGTGCCCAATTCTATACAGATCCAAAATGAGGTAGTGGGAAATTCAGACATTCTGCCCTGCCATGTACTAAGACTGCAGAGATATTTAAATTCCCCTGGGAACATTATTTGGAGAAATCATTAGTTAAGGAAGAAATAGAAGAAAATATGTAGCTTAGGAATCTGCATATTATTGAAAACCACAGGCAGAAAGAAACCCAAAGAAAACTGCAGCCGTATGTAGGAGGACCCATCTACAGTTATAAGGAGATATTAGGTAGATAACAAAAACCTAAAGAAATTGCTGATCCTAACATGTGGCAAACAGTATCTTTGTGGAAGAGAAAACACACAGCTAGGCTATTAGCTTTAGTGGCAGTATACTGCACATGTAACATTTCTCACTGGTATGCACTGCATCCTCCATTTTAAACAGTCAAGCAGTACAACTCTGTCTGTTGCCTCTTTCCAGGCTGTAGCAATGGAGCTGCTCTCAGCACCAGTTGGCAACTTTACAGTTGATCTTTTCAACAAGTTGAATGAGACGAATAAGGGCAAAAACATTTTCTTTTCTCCTTGGAGCATCTCATCTGCTCTGGCCATGATGTACCTGGGTGCAAAAGGTAACACAGCAACGGAGATGGCAGAGGTAGGTTTCTCTGTAAAGCATGTACCCTGACACAATACCTGGCTGCAAAATCTACTGTGTTAAATAGAAAAAAACTTACAACCACAGTGACAAGAAAAAAAGGCAGACCAGAGAATGTAACAAGTGAACGGCAAATTTTATTTATTTCATACCAAGTGCCACCTTCCTTCAGTAGGAGAACATGTCCTGTGGGTATCACACACTCTTGAGTTTCTCTGAACCTGACTTTTTCAAAATGATTCTACATCTTCTAATTTATCCTATGACTCTGCCACAGATGGGATGTTCCCTTTGAGAAAGGGACTCCCAAGTAGCAAGCAGCTGATGTCAGCAGCTCCTGACTCAATTAGCAAGAAGCCTGCAGATCCCAGCACCATCTCCTGCACCCTCTCTCCCTCCCTGGCAAGGATGCATCTTTCTATCTTGATTTACACTTTCCTAAACACCTCCCTGACAATCCAGCAGGAAAATAGGAATGGTATACTTCCCAAGGGCTCTGGTCTCTCTACAGTCCTCGACCCAATCCCTCCTTTAATGTTGCACTGCCACAGACACACTGCAGGAAGATGCAAAGCGAAGGAATCAGGACTTCAGCTGGGAGATCTCAAGATCAGAAGTGCACATGACTACATAACTGACACCCAGACAGTTAACAGCTAAGAAGCAGTTTTCCCAGCTGGCTAGACTCTTGTGCTTCCCATCAGGAAAAAGTTGAGCTGGCACATTTCAACTGCCAGCAATCAACCAGTGGCCCATAATCAGCTGAAGAAGTACTTGTCAACCCAAACTTTCCTACCAGACAGCTTCAGACATTGTATCTATCTGCCTAAGAAAACCACACTACAGCAGATCAAAGCACCTGGACAAAAGTAGCTGTGGTGCTCAGTACCGCCCAGCACTCCCCTCTGCATCACCACACTCCTGTTCAGAAGCCTTTGTACATTTGCCCTGGGGAGAACCATTTCGGTTTGCATACATGCATTGCTATTACTGAGAGCAACAGCTATGGAAGGGAGTTCAGCCTTGCAGCACGCAGACAATAGTGCTGCATTTAATCAGCCGCTTAAGCAAAAACTAGCACAGTGATTTATCATAAGGAGCAAAACAAGACAGAGACAACACTAAAGGCCCCCTTGATCCCCGTTTGGCTTTAGAGCATACAAGTTCTTTTATGCCAGTTTTATGCCAGTTTCTCACCTTTACCCAAATCTGTACCACTCTGCTTGCAGGTTCTTCATTTCACGCAAGCTGCAGGAGCTGAAGACTCTTCTTCTGTGGCCAGACCTTCTCGGGGAAGACCAAAGAGAAGAAAAATGGTATCTATTAGAGTTCAAATCCCAAGAGAAACAATCTGGGGGATGAGAATGCCCAGATATAGCTTTAGGAGTCCAGTATTTCTTGTCTGCATCACTCTCTATATTTAAAGTACAAAATCCAACATCACAACAAGTTCAAGTTCAGTTCTCCTCACTCACCAAAACTCAATGAACATGTGATAATCAGGAAGGTTTGCTATATGGAAAATCCGTTAATCCAGGGATAAACAGAGCCCTGCAAACTGCAGTGATGGTAGACTTGGAAAATTAAAAAGTAAGAGAGAGGAATCCAACTCCTCCCTCATCTGCTTCACTTAGCATGTTTTGAAAATTTCATGCAAAAATACAATCGCCAAATGTATGGAATGGTTTCTCTTTCTAAGGATCCTGAGCACAAGCAAGCTGAAGACATCCATTCTAGCTTCAAAGAGCTCCTGGCTGCCATCAACAAACCTAGAAATACCTACTCACTGAAAAGTGCCAACCGAATCTACGTGGAAAAAACCTACCCATTACTGCCTGTAAGTTGAACAGTTTTATCATAGAGAGGAGCAAAAAAAGTTGCAAAAAGTATTTCTCATTTTAATTACTTGTCATTAATAGAAGCTCTCCCTGAATACAGCTTTGCCCTGCAAATGAAGAGCTCTGGATTCCAGTGATAAAGTTCACTGGAAAATACCAGGTGGACGGCCCACAGTATTTAAGGATGCATTCCTCTTTAATTGCAATGTAGGAATTCCTTTTAATGCAATTTAGCTTTATTATTGGAACCCTCAATATATACGACTGTAAATGAGACATGAAAATAAGCACATCCATTGGATGTGCACAGTCTTCTTCCCTTTTCCAAATGAATGTTGGAACAAGGGCAGGGAATTTTCTGTTATTGTGTTATTTCTTAACTGTCACCTCACAGTCCAGTGCAGAGTGAAATATTAAATCCTGCAGTTCTCCACGCCATGGGAGGCCCAGGAGCTAAGAACTTCCCTCTGGGACAGAAAAATACAGTATAGTAAAGAACTTTTTTTTGTATAACATTTTTCAGAGCTACTCACAGCTTAGTAAGAACTACTACCATGCAGAGGCACGGAAGGTTAACTTTATGACAGCATCAGAACAAGCCAGAAAGGAAATCAACACCTGGATTGAAAAACAAACTGAGGGTAAGCTGAGCTCAACCCCAGCGTCTTTTCTCTCCTATTAACTCAGCCTGCTGTTTCTTTTGGGCAGGTGGCCTTGTTTCCACAAGCGCTAATGCTGCAGCCAGGTCCTGCAGGAGCGGATGATGTAAATTGGGCAGATGGGCAGTAGGAGGAGAGAGAAAGAGCAGTGCTTGAACAGCATCACATACCTGATCCAGAACTCAGTGACTTCCCTATCAACTTTACTGAGGTCTGCATCAGCTGCCCCTCAAACAGGACTGTCACCTCGGCACTGCGCCCATGTACCACAGGCATAGCTGAAAGGGGGGAGAAACACCTCAGGCTATCAGCTTGGGTTCTCATACTCCAAGGGATATGGGAATACCTATCCAACCATACCATCCTACATTGGTGAGAGGTGCAGACCTCCTTTCATGAGGCATAAGCAGCTGGCAGACGGACTATCTACCTTTCTTCTTCCAGCTGGTTGCTATGAAGGTGTGATATTTTTTCAGAAAGGAGTCAATTCCTGTCAGCCAGCCAGAAGGACTGGACAGGAGTTGAACTGAGGGAAAGCCCAACTGAAACATGCCATGCACTGAGATATATATACATACACTGAGATAAAACCTAACTCTTCTGATTCCAAAAGGCAAAATCAAATCTTTGTTGAACCCACATGATGTGACAAGCTTCACCAAGTTGGTCCTGGTAAATGCTATTTACTTCAAGGCAGACTGGGAAGAGAAATTTCAAGCAAGAGACACAGATCTGCAACCCTTCCGACTGAGCAAGGTAAGCTCCTCTGACATCCTCCTTATAGCCTGGTGACAGCAGACACTGCTGAAATCTTTCTATTTCATAAGTCCCTTAGTTATCCCCGTGGTAACTAGACTCTCTACGAAAAGCTGGTTACTATAAAATGTGTCAGTGGTCAGCTCACCAGTAACCTTTACGCAACTACATGAAAGCATGACTTGTGACTGCTGGTCACTAAATACTCATACATTTTAGAAAATACATTAAGATGCTGCTCAGGTAAATGTTAACCAGCTCCAGATAACAGCTACAGTTTCCAAAAGCACTAGAGTGACTTCAAACCTTTTTTGTAAAATGGTGCTAGAAGGGCTAGATTGTAAAAATAAGATTTTGGGAGTCCAGGCTCCATGGACAGTCAAAGATACTTCAGGAACAACATGCGATGTCATAGTTGAGGATGATACTCAGGCTTCTGTACGGCACAGCCTGGCTAAGCATGAACATACCTTCTCAAATACAACTGTAACAGGGTATCCCTGAATGTCTGGGAGAGATTAGTAGAAATATTCATGTCACGTATTCAGCAGAGATGTAAATGAATTCACACCAAAAGAACTTTGTACCTTTTCCACCAACTGAAATTTCTGCCTTCTGAATAGCACATATACATTGGCTGCTTAAATGAATGAAGGGAAGGAGATACTAAGAGATGTTATATACTCCTGCAAAGGTGACTACTTACCAGAAAATATCCCTCATCATGAGCTCCTTTGCAGACATTAGTGTTATCTTCTACCAAGAACTGTGAGGTACAGAGCAATCAGACAGTCACTTTTTATTGCCAGAGAAAGAGGGCCACAAAAAAACTGTGCAAAAATCTCTCATCTTCTTAAACCATAGCTGGTTTTCTGCCATAGTGTTCAAAGGTTATATACAATACCCGCTCCATCCTTCTAATCCTTGCAGACTTTTCTAACTCTCTTCTTCCCTCCTCTGTGGGTTGCTGTGCACACTCTGGGAAGAAAGGAAAATCAGGCTGTTCAGGTCATAGCAAACTGGTCTGGAACAAATGCCAAAATAAGCAATATTGCTCAAGAAAAGCTTTAGAAAAAAAATGATAAACCACTATTATAAAAGCTGTTTCCAAGAGTTTCCTCTCTCTATTGCCATGAGTCATCTTCATCCTTCACTTAAATGAATGATTTCTTACTCCTTCTAAGTCAATAAATAAATACTTCACAGAACAAAACCAAGCCTGTGAAGATGATGTATATGAGACAAGCATTTCCAGTTCTCATCATGGAAGCAATGAATTTCAAAATGATTGAGTTGCCATATGAGACACACGAACTCAGTATGTTCATCCTCCTCCCCGATGACATCAAAGACAGCACTACAGGTCTTGAACAGGTAAATATATATATATAAAAAACTATCTCTTTGCTACATCCTAGACAAATTCCATATTTCTTCAGATGATGCATTACCACATATAACATTGTAAATACTTAAACTGAAAGATGCATCTTCAGCATACATATACCTTCTGGTGGGTAGGATGAGGACTAGCAAATGCAGCTGACTCATTTCCCCAGCCAAACAGTACAGTGTTATAGGGTTAGCATCAGCACCACATTTTGCTCACATATTAACAGTGTCCAAAACTGAAAGTTATTTTCCACAGCCAGGAGTAGAACTGTGTCTGAATTTTCATGAAATTTTTTGTCCGATGCCAGGTGTGTTGTAAGAACAGAGAAACAGAAAAGAAGAGGGTGAGATGAAGAAGGAAAATCCTTGCAGGAATAATATAGGTGGTTTGACTACAGATATATCCTGTTGGCTTGATGAAATTTTGTCAGTATTAAAAGAAAAAAAGAAAGAGAGACTGGAGACCATATCTCCCCTCCTCTTAGCTGTGCATTTTAATCTTCTCCACTAGCTGAATTAATTTCCTTTAAAACCTACCTAATCTTGTCCTTGACATCCCAAGAAGGTTTGCCTACATTGTATACCCTTAGTTTGGTAACGGAAGACTCTCAGGACTGTGCATAATCAGATGCTTAGCTCTTCAACAGCCCAGTGCTTGCCCAATACTACATGAACAGCAAAAGATGAATGTCCCTTCTCTGAATATTCAGGAGAGACAGTACAGCACAAGTAGTCAGAGCCTCTTCCTGAGATAATGTGTGTGGAATAGACACCTCTTCTCTCTGGCAGGGAATTCTGTTCACCACCTCTTTCTGATACTGTTTGCTTCCAAACACATACACTTGCTGTCTCAGAAACAAGGATTTTGTGAGACTGCACTTGCTACAACAGTAAGATCTGCCATTGTAGTTACCAAAATTGCAAGGTCGCTAAATTCTTGGATCTATCATGTCAAGCATACCATTCATTGCTCTCCTCCATTTGATATGAGCTGAACCCTGGTGGCACAGTGCCCAGGATGGAGAGTTGCAGTGACAGATCTTGCTGGAAGCAGCTTGTTTCAGAATTGCCAAGAAAATAAGTGGAATATTAACAGCTGGTTCTATGGAACTGGATCAAACCACCTGCCACACATCCGGGAATCTCCCAGCAACTTTGTTCACATTTGGAGAAAAGAAACGTTCTCACTCAAGACTGAATTAAAAGAGAGGGTCTGGCAGCTCAGGGGTGTAAAGTGCCTTGTCTTTCTTTTGCAATGAACACGGCAGAGGTGCTGCTCAAAACCTTGCACCAGTAAGTCTCGGGTGCTTGTTGCAAACCCCGCATGTGATCATCTGTAACGCCAATTTATATTTCATGCTTTCATTTAAGTGTTAAATTCTTCTTCTATTTTTTTTTTCTTTGCAATTATTAAATCTCTCGTTTTTCTTAAACCGTAGCTGGAAAGAGAACTGACGTATGAGAAGCTGTCTGAATGGTGTGATTCCAAGAAGATGACAAAAACTACTGTGGATCTGCACCTGCCTAAGTTCAAAGTGGAGGAGAAATATGACCTCCAAAATACTTTGATCGACTTGGGAATGAAAAGTGCCTTCAGCGGTAATGCTGATTTCAGTGGAATCACTGAGAGGCGTAATGTGCCGATCTCCAAAATTATTCACAAGTCTTTTGTTGCAGTTGATGAGAAAGGCACTGAGGCAGCAGCTGTTACGGTAAACACAGGAATGACAAGTCCAGGTCCCGTGGAGGCTCTGAAATTTAAGGCTGACCATCCTTTCCACTTCTTCATCAGACACAACAAATCCAAGACCATCCTCTTTTTTGGCAGATTCTGCTCCCCCCCATAATGAGTTATTGCTTACTCCAATATAGCATGCAAATTTCACTGTCCTATGAGAGAATCTGAACTGCAGCCTTAAAAGCTCAGCCTTAAATCTTGTAGCCATAAGTACTGAAAATATGCATCCTTATGTCTTTGCCCCCCTTGTATGGCAGTACCTAGAGATGACCCTATGCCTCAAAAGCTGTCACTGTATTGACCCTTCCCACTGTTCTAATGAGATGGTCCTTCACAGAAGCAGAGTGCAGAATTTTGCTCTCTTGCATCAGATGTGCTCTTCTGACTGGCTGTTTGAGAGTGAGGTGGAGGCATAAAGGCTCTGCACACAAGCCATTAGCTAGCCTCAGGTCTGCAACTGACTTAAGGGAGGCACAGTCCATCCTCTTAAATCTCCCAGAGAGGAGAAAATCCCAGAAAGGAAAAAAACTTACAGAAATCCATATGCTCTCTTTTCTTCAATGGGAAAGTGTATTTGCAATACAATTCTGTTTCCTTATGTTCCTTTCAAATTTAAAGTCTGTTGGAAATTACTAAAATTTAATACAAACCCAGAATCATCTCAAAATGTCATCTATCTCCCTCTGACTCCCCCATATACACAGATACATGGCATTCATTCTCTGCTGCCCTTGCAGCTTCATGCGAAATTGAGGCAGCAAGGGGAAAATGATCAGGCCATAATGTTCACGTGCTGACTTCTGATTACCTTGAAAGAGTCACTATACTGGTACGACCTCACAAGTAATGGTTCATCTCTGTCTGATGCACAGCTACTTGTCATCATGAACTGCTAAGAATGTTTTCGGGTTTTTTTTTGAGAGGTGGTACAGACCCCTCACACCCATTTTGTCCTCATTTCCCTAATCTGTATAGGTTAAGGTTGCTAAGAGTTCCAGTGAGCAACATTGCTAGGAAATCTACCAGCAAAATGCTTTCTTGCTAACCCTTACAGATATGCATTCTAAAATCCCAGTATATAAATCTGCTGCTTCCTTTCAATTTAACCTAAGTATACCCGTTTCCTGGCTAGTATCTGCACATTTCCCTTTCTACCTGTATCAGTGTTCAATGCAAGCCTTGTAATTTAGGAGTGCATCTCAGCAAAGACAGTCATAGCGTTGGCAGGAACACCAGTGGGATTTGGACCGATGCTTTATTTCATAATTTTGCTGTGATCTGCATTCAATAAAATAAATGAACTTTGAAGTTGTGTTTGTCCTATTCAAGACACCACCTTACCTGGTTCTCTTAGGGTATCCTGTAAGCTGCATGGTTGATGCAAGTTTCCATTCCTGCCTTTCCAAAGCAAGAGCCAAATCACCCCAACCGGCAAGGAGCCAAGGCACTCTAACACACCACTGCCTTGTTTCCATCAGACTCCAAACCACATTAAAAATATTGTTATTCCACATGATATCTTAGACATTTACTGAACATACCAATTAAATTATACTCTGTGATGAGCAAGTTTTTGCTCACTGAGTCAAGGCATTTGAACTTTTCTTTCCCTGTAAGCATTCAATAAGCCATTTTGAACCAGTGCTTATTGCACTACTGGCCTCCCTGGGAGCTACTCAGAAGGCTTATTTTCCTGCCATAACACATTAAAAATACAAAGTCTGACCAGAGCCTATAGTCCAGAAGAGTGCCTTGCAACAAACCCTTTTCCTCCTGTACAATAATGAACAAGAAATGCTGTATAGGCAACATCAGTCCTTTGACTCTTCCACTGACTTAAGTTCCTGATACAGGTGAGAGAGGAGCCAATGAGGAGAGGTACTCTGCTGGACCTCACACTTACAAACAAGGAAGGGCTGGTTGGAGATGTGAAGGATGGGGGCAACCTTGGCTGCAGTGACCATGAGATGGTGGAGTTCAGGAACTTGTGAGGAGGGAGCAGGGCAAAAAAGCAAGATAACAACCCTGGACTTCAGGAAACCTTCTTCAGGGACCTTCTTATAAAAATCCCATGGTATAGGGTCCTAGAAGGAAGAGAGGTCCAGGACAGCTGGTTGATATTTAAGGATCATTTCCTTCAAGCTCCAGAACGATCCATCCCAATGAGCAAGAAGTTGAGAAAAGGGTGCAGGAGACCTGCATGGATGAACAAGGAACTCCTGGCAAAACTCCAAACAGAAGAAGGAAGTGTACAGAAGGTGGAAGTAGGGACAGGTAACCTGGGAGGAATATAAGGATGTTTTCCAAGTCTGCAGGGACGGAGTTAGGAAGGCCAAGGCCTATCTGGAGTAGGATCTGATCTGATGAGCAGGCTGAAGAGGATCCTGCCCCAGCGTGATGTACAAGTAGGTGCCAAGCAGTGATCAGCTGTGGCATTACTGCCTGCCTGGCGGCTGAGTATGTCCTGGCCTCCCATGGCCAACAGTCCTGTGGAGGGTCTATTGGCTGATCTGTCCCTTGATTTGGGAGGAGTTGCTGAGCTGGAGTGGCAAAGGCTGTGAGCCAGAGCACAGCCTCGGTGGCTGGTTCTGTGCAGCTTGGGATTATATTTGGAAATAGCAGGGTCCGCTGTGGCTATTTATGCATGTGCTCAAAGGCAAGGGTGCAGGGAAGAGGCTAAGGCCCGTTTGGAGTTTTATCTGGCAAGGGATGTCAAGGACAACAAGAAGGGTTTCTTCATATACATCAGTAGCCAAACGAAGACTAGGGAAAATGTGAGCCCGCTGCTGAATGGGATGGGTGCCCTGGTAACGAAGGATACAGAGAAGGTAGAGTTACCAAATGCCTTCTTTGCTTCAGTCTTTACTGCTACGGCCAGCCCTCAGGAATTCCAGACCCTGGAGATCAGGGAGAACATCTGCAGAAAGGAAGACTTTCCTTTACTTGAGGAGGATCGGGTTAGAGATCATTCAGGTAAAGTGGACATCTACAAGTTCATGAGCCCTGATGGGATTCACCCATGAGTGCTGAGGGAGCTGGCGGATGTCATTGCAAGCCCACTCGCCATCACCTTTGAGAAATTCATGGAGATCAGGAGAGGTGCCTGAAGACTGGAAGAAAGCCATTGTAAGTCCTACTCACTACAGAGCAGTCAGCCTCACCTCCATCCCTGGAAAGGTGATGGAACAGTTCATCCTGGATACCATCTCCATGCATGTGAAGGATAAGAAGGTTATCAGGAGTAGTCACCAAAGGGAAATCATGCTTGACCAAGCTGATGGCCTTCTCTGATGGAATGACTGGCTGGGTAGATGAGAGGAGAACAGTGGATGTTGTCTACCTGGACTTCAGCAAGCCTTTTGACACTGTCTCCCATCACATCCTCATAGGGGAACTCAGGAAGTGTGGGTTGGATGAGTAGACGGTGAGGTGGATTGAGAACTGGCTGGATGGCCGAGCTCAGAGGGTTGTGGTCAGTGGCATGGAGTCTAGTTGGAGGCCTGTAGCTAGTGGTGTCCCCCAGGGGTTAGAACTGGGTCCAGTCTTGTTCAATGTATTCATCAATGGCCTGGATGAAGGCACAGAACGCACCCTCAGCAAGTCTGCTGATGATACTAAACTGGGGGGAGTGGCTGACACACCAGAAGGCTCTGCTGCCATTCAGAGGGACCTGGACAGGCTGGAGAGATGGGTAGAGGGGAACCTCCTGAAGTTCAACAAAGGCAAGTGCAGGGTCTTTCACCTAGGGAAGAATAACCCCATGCACCAGTACAGGTTGGGGGTTGACCTGCTGGAAAGCAGCTCTGCAGAGAAGGACCTGGGAGTGCTGGCGGACAAGTTGACCATAAGCCAGCTATGTGCTTTTGTGGCCCATAGTATCCTGGGATGCATTAGGAAGAACATTGCCAGTAGATCGACAGAGGCAATCCTTCCCCTCTACTCAGCCCTGGTGAGGCCTCACCTGGAGTACTGTGTCCAGTTGTGGGCTCCCCAGTACAAGAGAGACATGACACTACTGGAGAGAGTCCAGCGGAGGGCTACAAAGATGATGAGGGGACTGGAGCATCTCTCCTATGAAGAGAGGCTGAGAGAGCTGGGCCTGTTCAGCCTGGAGAAGAGAAGACTGACAGGTGATCTGATTAATGTCTACAAGTATCTGAAGGGAGGGTGTCCAGAGGATGAGGCCAGACTCTTCTCCGTGGTGCCCAGGGACAGGACAAGAGGCAACGGGCACAAACTGAAACACAGGCAGTTCCGTCTGAACATGAGGAAAAACTTCTTTCCTGTGAGGGCGACAGAGCACTGGCACAGGTTGCCCAGAGAGGTAGTGGAGTCTCCTTCCCTGGAGTTACTCAAAACCCGCCTGGACGTGATCCTGTGCAATGTGCTCTAGAGGACCCTGCCTGAGCAGGGATGTTGGACTAGATTATCTCCAGAGGTCCTGTCCAATCTCAGCCATTCTGTGCTTCTGTGACTTGGGAGGACAGCAGTGGTGCTCTCCTGTGCCCATGAGGAATAGCACAAAGTCTTGTAGCCACTGTGGTACTCAACAACCACATGTCAGAGAACATTATCTAAGGCAACAAGATTTGAATGCAGGAGAGAAGTACTGTAAAAACATTTACTCTGAGCAAAATTTCATCTAAAGTTACAGTTCCCTGTCCATCTCAGCCAAAGGTATTCCATTTGGAAATATATCTCCACCCAACAAAGTATACCTGCCTCTTCCTCCCTATACAAAATGCTGCTTCTAAAACCAGTGCCCTACCTTGCCTGTAATTTTCAACTCAGAATTCAGCTGTCTGTTATCCAGAACCCAGATGGTGCAGTGCAGCTTGGTGTTATTGACCCAGCTTTATTAAGAAAATTGTTGTTAAGGTGTGGAAAAGCACAGAAGCTAAGGCCATGGAAAATAAGAAAAGTAAAAATAAAAACAGAAGTTTTTGTCAGGATGGAATAGTCAGAATAGCAAGGATTCAAAGGGGAAAATATGCAAGAAGATATAAACCTTAATTTAAAAAAAAAAAAAAATCAAGACTTGGAATGCAGCAACAAGCAACATTAAGGCTCAGTCTGCTCCAGGGAGCAAAAAAGACTTTTCCACTTGAGTCATGTCTGCCTGGGCAGCAGAGACTCTTTAGGGTTGCAAGCATATTAATTCTTAGCCCTGTTACATGTTAGCCCTAGCTCTCTGCTGTGTGTATTAGCCAACAATGACAGAAAATCTGTAATGCTACAAAGGAATACCTCTCAGGCCATCTGAGAAATGACTGCATAGCATCAGCCAGCTGGTGAGGTGCAGTGGGTCAAACAGGCTGGCCTTGGTATCGAGCTGGTTCTGGTCTCATTTGTGCTTGGGAGAAGCCACAAAAGAGCACACTTTGCAGTATAACACATATTAGGGCTGTGGGGGCAAAGGGTCAGGAGGAGGAAGTGAAAAGAGCCAATCCAAGGGAATACTCTCTATAGCTCATCTACTGAGAGCACCACTGGAAGCTGCTTCATTTGTGTCTCCCTGTAGTATTTTCACAGAAACCAGGATCAGGGTCTCAACTCAGGCTAACCTTACCTCCACTTCCCACACTTGTGAAGGGCCTTTGAGATCTGGAGGGTGTATCTGCCAGTGCTGGAAGATAAGAAAAGTTATAAGCCTTTCAGTTTCCATTATTTCAGAATGGTTTAATCCTGCTGGTTTGCAATGCCACACTGGATACAGCAAGGGAGGCAGTCCTGGGGACATGAATCCCCAGTGCAGCATGTTCACTGTGCTTGCTATGGTTGTTGCAGGAGGCCTGGATGCTCCTGGAGGTGACAGGCTGGCCAGCTACAGGCTGGGATGGAAGAAGTAAAGAGGAGACAGGTCTGGGGCAGGGCAGCTCCGACAACAAGCAAGGTCCTGGTGTTCCAGTGCTTTACTCAGCGCTGTCCTTTCTCTACTGTCTGCCACAAACTCTGCATTGATACTTTTGAAAGACATCTCCATTTTATTCTTCCATACTGAGGATAACGCTATCTAATTACTTTTCTAAAATACTCCAGGGTAGCCAGCTCATAGGTTCTACATGACAGCGTTTCCAAATAGCTTCTTCCAAGAAGCCCTGGGTTTGTTCTGCAAAATCCAAACTTATAACCCTAGTTCCACAGACCCCTTCCTGAGAGGCTCCGGGACTTAAAATACTAAAGAAAGATGCACCTGACAAGCAGAAATGGCAGACACAGAACACAATAATAAAGACAAGGAACTTTACAGTGCTGTCGTATAGTCAGTATCCAAGAGAAGGACACAGAAAGAAAAAAAGAAAGAAAAAAACCTGCTTCAGAACTAAAATGAAAATTCATCAGTATTTTAAGGTCTTATTTTTCCATCAGTAACAGACACAAGAAAATGACTTAAATGTTACTTATACTCCAACCTTGTCAGGTTCTATTGCAATAGATGTGATATTTGCTCTCATTTTCTTCCTGTGGGACATACATGAATAGGATTTCTTGTAGAGTAAACAATGTAATAAGATCTAGTCTAGCACTGATCTAAACTAACATTGAGCCAACTAATTTTTCACTGTGCTGCTTTTTAACCAGGTGCAACTGAAAGAGAACTGATCTTCAAGAAAAGCTCAAATGGCCCACTCAAACTACAGAGTAAACTGAGTACTGGTGCAGGGGTAAAAGAATCAAACAGCCAGAGAGATACAACTTCATATCGATGCCAAAAAGGATGGGGATAGGGATAGCTTCAAAGAAGGCCAAAAATGACTTCATCAGGACATCAGCATAAAATGATATAGGTTTATCACATGACTTTTTATGACTGTTTGTCAAAGCTCAGTGCACCTAGAGCCAACAGGTAAGGTGTTTTTGATGCCATGAAACCTTGTTTCTATCATTCTGTTTGCAGCAAGTCACCATTTCTTCTCCTCCATCTGGCACAGGAAAACCAAGAGTATCTTTTCTTTGGCAGATTTGCTCCCTTTTGAAACCCAGCCAGTCTTACTAAACAGGATCTTGCAGCAGCTGGAATATACCACAAAGAGTATCTACACAATTTGGGTACCCTTTCTTCATTTCCTGTATTTTTGGCCAATCTTTGCAACTTGCGGTATAGTAATTTTCATCACTAACCATTTTATTCTTCTCCTATTAATTTAGCTAAAGAACAGATAACAGTAGCTTCAGATATGTAGCGGAAACATTTCTTAAGCACACTTACCCGATGCTGTTACACATTTAGTGTAACACTTGTCTAATATAATACTGAAGCAAGAAAACAAGATAGATATTCTAGGCACAGAAAATGCACCTACTTAGAAACAGAAAATGTGAAAAAGAGGTACATATAGCATTCTTGAAACCTCATGTGCTATATGTACCAGTTAGATTCAAAGTGAATATGTGCACAAAAATATAATTCCAGGTCAAAAATGCGCTTGTACTCTTGACACTGGTGCTTTTTCCTTAGATGTTGACTGCATGCCAGTGAGTGGTTTACTCTGCATGCACCCTATCAGCGGGCAGAGGCCACTCAGAAGTAATTACGTATAAGAGAAAAGATACAAAATGATTGCAGAGGATATTTATTAATGCTGTTTAATCTAAGTCCCAAGGATAAAAGCAGAAGAAAACAATAGAATTGCTAGTTACTCTGGTTTAAAGAAAAGCATTTGTTAACACACAACTGTATTGTATTACACTTTTGCTGGTCTCTAATTTTAACGCATTCTGCTGTTGCAAGTCTCTAGTCTAATAGAGTAGAAAATTCCAGTAGAATAAATTATTTCAAGCAGAATTTAAAAGCAGTTTTGCAACTTTTGGTGGATGATCCTAATTCCCTCAATTGAGAACAGAGAAACAATAAACTGGGTACAGTGTTGGGCCTAGAGGTACCTAAAACACCTTCACCTTCAGAATTTCTCCTAGGATCAGTGATTTCTTAAAACAACATCCACCAATCCAAATGAGTCAAGTGTTCATTTACATTTCATCATTTCTTTTAGATGACTGTATAAGGACCTTCTGAGCTTCAAATAAGATCTGCTTTTTGAAGAAAAGAGCATAAATGTAATATATCATTAAAAAGGGCTTTAAGTGTGTGACCTATAGGCCACAAGGATTTAAATGAACACTTCCCTCTGAATCCCACCACAGGATGAATGAGAGTAACAGCCTATTTCAATACTCCTTTTCAGCCATATCTTGGAGATTACTTCCTACCCATTTCTGAGAAAGAAAAGAAAAGAAAAGAAAAGAAAAGAAAAGAAAAGAAAAGAAAAGAAAAGAAAAGAAAAGAAAAGAAAAGAAAAGAAAAGAAAAGAAAAGAAAAGAGGAAGAATAAAGTTTTCAAATTACTTTGACATGCCCCTTGTCAATGCAGTATGGCTGAATTTTTTTCTGCAAGTTCCACATTTTCCCAGGCCAAACATCAAGGGTTTGGAGAAGGATATACTGCCCTTTATGTTTCAGGACACACACCAGCTAACACTGGCCTTGAACTGAGGAGTGCACGCTCTCTCTCTCTCTTTATTCATCTTGTAGTTTCTGCCCTAAAAGCCATACAGCAGGTCAGCAACCTACTTATGCTCTGCAGTGTAAGTTCTGAAAACAGGCGTTGGAGAGCAGAAGTAGGAATAAGTGAGGGAGCAAGCACATTAATATGAGGAGAGGATGTAGAGGGAGGTGCAAAAAGGGAGGTGCAAATAGTTCCGTATTTCCAAAAGTATTCATTGCTTCACAGATGGCCACAGACTCTGACTGAGGAAACATCTTAATTCTTTCTTCTCTCAGGATTTCAGGTAGAGTGAATATCCACATCAAAATGACTAGCTTTATTTTGAAAGTTTTAAAAATTCATATAAGTCCTTTGGAAATGAGCAGTTTAATGATGGTATAAATAGCATGCAGGGGAAGAAAGCGTTCATTATTTATTCAGTATAAAAGCTAGTCCTTGGGAAAACAGTGTGCCAAGGCACAGTGATCAGAATGCAAGCCCAGGCTGGGCAAGATTTGAACAGCCTGAGAGGGCTCAAAGTTTCAACTCTTAACTGTAGGAAGGGTGCTTTAATCACCAGGCTACCAGTTGACTTAGGATCAGAGGACTAACTATAGATTGTAGGAGAGAGCAATTTCCACCTCCTCCTGTTGATGCTGAAACTGAATGCACAAGAGAGCATGACTCTGGAGTGCAGTGTTTTGGACAGTCAGCATCAGGTAAATTGGTTCAAGTTTCTGCTTTATTTAATATCAAATGACTACTGGATAAGGCATCTAGACTTTTCCTTTCCTGGATGAGTGATGTGGCCAGTAGACTGGAGAACCTCACGCACGTGTGCACTCAAATTCTCAACCCTGAGAAATGTTTGATTTCTGCATGCAGATTCGATTCGGGTACTCTCTGGGAATAACAGAGATGCTGGTTTGAAATTCTTCAGATAAAAACATCCAGCTCCACCCTGTTCCTTCTGGGCAGCCCCAAGGCTGCTAGGGAATTTCTAACTGATCAGGTTCTCTAGGAACAAAGGCAAGAGACAGCTGGTTTACAGATCCAAAAACTGCTTAAGTATGAGCTATGCTGCAGGGCACTCACCTCTGAAGTGTTCCTGAAAATACTTCAAAGTAGCTTTTGAGTCCCTGGAAACTCTGAAATCAAAACTTGAGACCAGAGACTCCAGGCTTCTCTACAACTGTGGCAGCTGAGTCTTGAGAACTGCAGTTTAAGATTTAAGCATGTAAATTGAGGGTGAAGAAGGATTTAAAAGTCCAGTTGCTTTTGGTGTTCTAACACTTAAAGACTTTCACCCGATGTAACCTTGCTTTGAATTTAGTACATGTTTTAGTACTTCTTATACCAGTAGACAGAAGACAATAGAAGCTTCAGAAATTGTCCAAGTACTTTTCAACAGTACTAAATTCACCAAAAATATGCTAGCGAGAAGCACAGTTCTGTTCTGAATCCCTGTACGAAAATCATTTCAATCCTGGGGTTTGGTTTTTGATTTGTTTTATTTCGGTCCTGTAAAAATATTTAGAAAAAGAAGCAGAAAGAATATGGGAAAACTGCAGGTTTAGATAAGCCAGCAAGTAACCACTGCTGTTACTGTTTAAAAGAATTCTGAGAGGCTGCATGTAAGATACAAGAGTTTACCTGAAAAAGAATTAACAAATCCAGTTACAGCTACCAAATGTGGGTCTACTTACACAAAGAACACACAAAAAACCAAAGTAGCCTTCAAGATACATGTGATGAATTCATCATGCTTCTTTCAGCAGAAAATAGAATAGTAAGGAGAATACAATGGTTGGAGAAAAAAAAAGCTCAAGGCATCACAGTGAGAAATGATTTTGACTTAGAATCAAAGAACAATTCTATGAAACTTAAGTAAATGTTTTTTTAAAATCAGTTTGGTCTGTGAAAACTTTTCTAGCTAAAATAGTGTGTATCTGACGAAGAATAAGTAGGAAAAAAAAAAGAGCTGAAACAAGAATATAAACTTTGAGGAATGATAGGGAAGGGAGAAATAATGCAGACCGTATTCGGCCTCTGTGCAGTATTTTGCCCATTACAGAGACACCACTACATTGTATTTCAGAGGGTGCAGGTAACCTCCCAGTAGCAATTTGGGGATGGGGGACTGTTTTTTTTTTTTTTCCCCACAAGTGAAGAAGAAAAGAGTCATTATCTCTCTCTGACATCCGTTTTTCTCAGGCTGTAACAATGGAGTCCCTCTCAGCAGCAACTGGCAGCTTCACTCTGGACCTTTACAAAAAGCTGAATGAAACTTCCAAGGGCAAAAACATTTTCTTTTCGCCTTGGAGTATTGCAACTGCTCTTGCCATGGTCTATCTAGGTGCAAAAGGCAACACTGCAACCCAGATGGCTGAGGTAAGCTCTGAAATTAGCAGTATATCACCTTACAGCTAGTTCCCACATAAATTGCATTATCCTTCTGCCTGTGCCTAAACAGAAAGGAACAACATGGGAGAAGAGTCATGCCATACTGTCAGGTACAGGAAATAACCCTCTTCCTGCTGTTTACAGCCCTACAGGTCACTGTTCTTTCATGTTATTCCCAATGATCCCCCTGCTCCACTACCACCCCTATATTTAGCTTACACTTATAAACCCCAGAGCAATGCAAGCAGTCTGCCAGAGAGAAGTTACTCTTGTCAAAGCCTACAGCAGATCTTGTTGAGAACTGTACCTTCTGTTTTAATTGCCCTTTGATCAGAATAATTCACCGGATGTAGGGCTCAAAAAGTGATAAAGGGACGACTTTATTAACAGAATTAGTATGGATCTCAGATACCCTAGATAAAGGGAAGACAGATAGTATCACTGCTTGCAGACCCCAGCTGGTTCTAGAAGCAGTATATCTATTTTCTCACACTATATACCAAGATTAGAAAGTTTTCCTGGATCCAAGCTTAGTTGCACAGGCCAGTACTGATACCTCTACTTGTGTTATAGCTGGCGCACAAATAAGATAATCCTCCCATGAATAATGGAGACAGACTAGTACTGAAAATGAGAGTTCCTTTATGCCCACTTTTGCAGAACTTTCCAGTTTTGTACTCTTTCAGAACACATGCATTTACCTAAAACACATTAAAAATTGTAGTTTTATATAAATATTCCAGTAGTAAACGTTCAAACAGCATTATGCTGTTTGCTGTGCTTGGTCATGATCTGAAAAAAAATGTCCATGCACCTAAGCATGGACTGACCATACATCTAAATAATTTCACTCTGGAACCATAACACTGATCTGTTGTTAGGCTGTAAATGTGACTAGAATCTGTATAATAACCATGCAGTTATAAAGCATAAATCAAGAGTAAGGTCTTGTCTTCAATAGCTGTAACAGACTGGTGACATGACTGGTCCATTATTCTAAGCACGTAACCAATATAATTACAACACCTTGGCTCACATTTATCGTCAGAAAAACAAATTGTCTTTATGAACATTTATCATCTGCACAGGTTCTTCATTTTCATCAGATTGCAAGAGAAGAAGGTTCTTCTGAGGTGACAAGGCCTTCTCGAGGGAGACCAAAGAAAAGGAAGATGGTATTTTTTTGCAACAAAAGACTTAGAGAAACAAATCTCTGAGAACAAAAGCTCAACAATTACTGCTTTACCCTTAAAACATTTGCTTGCTTTCAGTCTACTTGTACGTCTTACTTCAGTAAGAACTATATATAGAAAGAGTGAACAAGTAGATACACTACAAAACTCATGAACTCTGACCTTCAAAGGCAGAACACAGGCACTAACTGACCCTAACGTTGTGTTACTTGGTTTTAGCTGGTCTGTGTCAATAATGAAGAAGTAACATGCTTAAGACCACTCTTTCTCTTTTATCTGCTTTATTATTTTTTTTTGCAGCAACCCTTGCATTGACACCTGCTCAGCCTGACTCCAGTCCTACCAAAAAAGTCCCTCCCACCTTTCTCATGGATGAACCAAATTCCCCCTTAAGCTAACACATCCTGATTCACCACTGTCCATCAGCTCCCCAAAGACTTGTCACCTGGAGGAACTGCCCAGACGTTTTTCTTCAGATGAACTCCCTAAGCACCCAAAGGCTTGTAAACTCAAACAAGCCAGGTTTCTTTCACACAGAAACTTCAAGAAAGCTCAAAGAAACTACATCAGACAGACTAGAAATAAAAAGGCAGATTATATCATTCTCCCCCTGGATGGAGGGGGATGAATCTTGACAAATGATTCAAGATGAATCACTACTTCCACATGAACTTAGCAAGTCACTGGCTTTTAGGCAGAAAAGTCTGCCTAATCAGGTCCTTCAGACATTTCTCTCTTTTTATCTCTGAAGTCTGTTCCTTGTTCCAACTACAAGCTCCCAGCTATTCTTCATGCCTTCTCCTTCCTGCCATACCCTTCCATGTCTGGTACCCTTAGCCTCTTCTGAGCTCATTCTGTTGCTTCCCAGGTAAGACACAAATTCCCTCCTACTTTGAAAGAAGTCCACCTGACCGGATTAATCTTCCTAGAGGGATATAACTTACAGGCAGAATAAGCAAAATCAAGCATATCATCTATCACAATTGCTTTATTCTAAATCCCAGGTGCCCCTAGCCTCAGCTCTCTCAAATCAGGACCTCTCCCATCCACTTGCAAAACCCAGCCTCTGCAATCCTGCATCCTCTGACTACCAAATTCTTTTCTGCATGGCCTTACCAGCAGCCCACTCCTTAGTATGAGTGAGAAACGATCAGAAGAAGGAATGCTGCCTGACCAACCTTAGGACAAGTCACTGTAAGTCAGCAGCACGTTTTCTCAGTGTCTCACAGGTGCAGCACAGTACACGTCACGGAGTAGGAGACTGCACCCGCATAGCTAGTGGGGAACAGCTGACAGATGGTAGCTTATTCCTCTGTCAGTGAGGCAACAGTTGGCAACGGCTGGCAATTAAACCCCCTAAAACCATCAGCGTGTTCATCCAGGACAAGTTCCCTCCAAAATCCAAACAGCAACAGCAAAATTCATGTGAGACAGAGAAAATCTGAATAGCTGGAAGTCTATGCCCTGGTATTAGTGATTTGTCAGAAATGGGCATCTCCTCAAAAGCTGCAAGACTGTCTCAGCGGATCCTTGTGAAACTGAAAATTAAGCCTGATCATGAATGAAATGACAAGTTCCAACTTTCTGGGTGCACCATCAGCTGATGTCCCCAAAGGCCTCCGCAGCACTGCAAAAACAGAACATCTCTTCACAAAGAGAAAACTGTTTTGTCCAGTTATACATAGTGCCGCAAATGTGCAACATACTAAAAAAGAGCTCCATTTTAATTACAATAACCTAAGACATTTTAAATAATTCCAAAAGTTCATTACTTTAGACAGAAAAACTATTTTCCCATATTAATTGCTGTCTCTTCAAAGGATCCTGAGCGCAAACAAGCTAAAGACATCCACTCTGGATTCAAAGAGCTCCTGGCTGCCATCAACAAACCCAGAAACACCTATTTGCTGAGAAGTGCCAACCGACTGTATGAGGAAATGACCTACCCATTACTGCCTGTGAGTTCAACATTTTTACTTAAGCATATTTTGAGATAAAGAGAGATTATCAAAAGAGCTGTCAAAATTTTCCAAATGATAGCACTGTGGTTTTAGTGAGAACATTCGGACAGCCATCCTGAGCTATCCTTACACAGACAACAGGTCCATCTGTCCCCAACAGCAGGCAATAGCAGACGTTTAGAAAGCATATGGGAATAAGGCACATTGCATAGTGACGCTTCTCCAGAATCTGCTCTGGTCACCAAGTGATTTTTAACTCAGTGACTTCCTGTGCCAGAAGAAGATCTATATTATAAATACAAAT